AAATAATAAATAAACCATGTTGCATATTAATATATAGACATGACGCCATTACTATTACACATGTCTTTTATTTTCTGTTTACTATTACGGTTTTACGGTTTTACAGTTTACGTTATTTACGGCAAATAATACGGCACATGCCGTAACTGTATTATTTCTGTTTGGGAATTCCGACGACAAGTATAAGCTAGAAGTTGTCAGTTATGTTTAAAATAGACTTGAATTTGGTTCATTTTTATAAATATGTATGTATGTATATATGTATATTTACGTTTATAGATCAGTTATTTGACTATTTCTATAATATTTTTGTCTTGCTGTGTATATAGTGGGACGATTTGGTGGACTTTTTTATATTATGAAATTTACCCTGGGACGATTTGGTAAAGAGCATATAGAAAAAATTAAAAAAATTTTTTTTTTCAAGGAAAATTGGTTTTTATGAAATACAAAGTTAAGGATATCATCTGTAAAAAAAAAATTATTTACTAAAAAAAATAATCAAACCACTACACAAGATCCAAATCCAAAATCATAATAGTACACCAAGTGATATTACTTCTGAGAATGCTTATAATTATTATGGTAGATGCTATTATAGGTATATGGGAATATAAAAAATCAAATAACAATTTATTGATAAATGGAGATGAGGTTGTGTGTTAAGGGATAGCCAAGGTGATATTGTGGGTGATCCATTCCATTCAAAAATACACTGGATCAATATCATGTGAGGCATGCCACAACAAAACCAGACAAAGTGAACATTTATGTCACAAAGATCAAAATTGTTTGACACTACAATTTTACTACCAATATAGCATGATATGGATACTTTTGTTTCTTCCACTTATTACTTAACTGATTGATGCACAGGATTATCACCATGAAAATAAAAACATTGTTTAAAACAAATTATAAATGTCACACATTCAAGTCCATTATGTTTGAGCACCATGAGTTCAGGTAAAGAACCTACAAATCTTTCAATAATCATTGTTAATAAATAAATATTCACATTTTCATTAACAATTTAATGGTGAATTTTTTTGTGAAGGCTGTTATTAGGCTCTTGATTTTTTTTAACTCACAAAAAATCAACTCTATGACATAAATCAAAAATTTGATGAAATAATCAATCAACAATCTCAAATGATGAAGTTCAATATTTTAACAGGATGGTTTGGTGGTTAAGGACCAGAATTTTGTACTTAATTAGTAGTTAGAGAACCTAGTACTAGGGATCAACAGTCTCAATGTTCATCCTATATGTCGATCCTTGTGTTGACTGATTTTGTTACATATAAGTTAAGCATTATAATTGTCAGTATCACACACACATTTATGATTTAAAACTTTTTTAATAATTGAGGGGAGGGGGGGGGATAAAATAATATATACATATCTAATATTCAATATAAATGTTTGCTAATATAAATGTTATGACTGAAATTTAATCTCTGTGGGTTAATTTAACCTTCAATTCAACACATCTACTACCATCAAAAGGTTGTGGACGCATAGGTTTATCACTTACCAATTCAAATTTATATTTTTTGTATAATAAAGCAACCAATAATTTAATTTGATTCAATGCCAGATGTCTTCCTGGGCATATACGTAATCCACCACCAAAATGTAAAAATGTATTTTTAATAAAGGAATCATCTATTCCACTATCATTGTCATGATTTTTATTTAAGAATCTTGAAGGATCAAATTTAGTTGGCTCATTCCAATAATTTGGATTCATGTGTAAACTTTGAACATTTATTGTTAATCGAGTTGAACCTGGAATTTTGTAATCACCTATTTGATCAAAATTTGCTGACTCACGATCAATTATTATTCCAAGAGGGTTAAGACGTAAAACTAACAATATAGATAAATTTATCATGTGAAATAAATTAAAAATAAAATTTATAAATAACAATAATAAAAACACAATTATAAATTAATACCTTCTTTTATTACTGCTTCAACATATTCAAATTTTTTTAAATCTTCATAATCTAAATTAGATTTATCTCCAAACACTTCTTTAATCTCTTTAAGAATGTTTTGTTCAACTTCAGGATTACTAAGTGCATAATATATAAGACATGATAAAGCTGAAGATGACTTTTTTTTCAATGGAAATTTTGGTTATTAATTTAATTAATTACATTTAATATATATATAAATAAATACAAATCTAAATAAATATACATACAGTCTGAATTCCTCCACCAAATATTTCACTAAAAACATTATGAATTTCTTCTTCAGTCATTGGTTCATCATTAAAATCATCTGCAATGCCTTGAGTAATATCTTTTGGAGTATTAATAGTTAATAACATATTCAACATATCAGGTGTCAGGTTTTCTT